CTCCTTGTCGGAGTGGTCAGCTGCCTGAGGAGGTGGAGAAGGAGGTCTCCGGTGGCGTGCAAAGAACAGTGTGTGGGCCAAGCAGACAGGGGTGCCATGTCTAATTCTCATAACACCAGATTCAGAGCTTTCATCAGACATGATGCCTGCAAATCTTAGAGCAGGAATCAGTAAATGGTGTTGGATTCCAGTTTCTACCACTCCCCGCCAGTATGGCCAAGAGACGAACGGCTGCCGTCCAGCAACATCTGCCGGTTTCCTAACCCACACCATAGTGAGTTTCAAATGTTTTTTTGCAAAGACCAAGATTCTCCTCATGCCGAATTCTGCAGCCAATATAAATTTTTGCAACATCGTTGGGTTTTCACAGAACTGCAGACTGTGTGTAACCTTCTTATGAGAGCAATCTATAAATCTCTGGTACCAGAAAATTTCCCTTTCTTTTCAATAACCTTGTATGGCAGTTCTGCACAAGCCCAAAATAACAAAAGAATTTCAGGACTTTGGATATAACATGGGACCTACATTTTTCTTCTACTACCATATCCGGCCATTTTGCTGCTCCCCACCGCCACCGACCAAGAAAAGTGGCCTGCCGCCTGTGCCTTTAAGGACTGCAGCTGGAGGAGGAGTGGGAGTGTCCTAGGCAGGTGCTACAGGTTGTGCTATCAAGAGTGGGACTCTGGTTATGGTTTTGTGTTGGTTTTGTGTTGCAGTTTGGGCACTCAGGATCAAAAAGGTTTACCATCACTGCACTAGGCTGACAGCATAGGCTATTGCCCATTTCCATTTTAACAGAGGCAAATCTTATGTGCCAGCGGCTTTGGAAGTGTTTAATGCCAAAATTGTACCACAAGTGTTGTATGGCATCCCTGTTTGGATGAATGCTATGGACTGTTCAGCAGAATGGATCCAATCCTCTCTTAGGGGTGCCAAGATGTATCTCTTACGCCACTCTGTGTCTAGAATCAGGTCAACCCTTGATAGAGACGAGGGCATGGTTGAGAACAATAAAACTTTGGCTCAGAGTCTGCTATAATTCGGACCAGGGCAGTCTGCTTTATCAACCTCTAGAGGATGTGACTGCCCCAGTGGGATCAACCAATTTGGTTAAGACAATTAGATCGATGGGAACTGTGATGGACTCTTTGGGTTGATGTCCCAATTGGAAGCATATCAAGTGATAAAATGTAGGCTACTGGACATACAAACACAGGAACTGCAGAGCGCTGCAAATAAGACCTTTTTGCCAATGAGTCAAAGTTGGCCAACCAGCTTTACCTGCTAAAACGCCCCCAGGAACACAGGGCCTTTACAATTACTAGATGTAACACTATTCCATCAACAAGGCTGTATTGGTGGAGATTCAGTGGGATTCCATACAGTGAGAGGTGTTGCTCCTGCGAGCTGGGTTGAGTGGAGTCATTCTCACGTATGATTTTGTATTGTCCAATGTTTATGGATCTCCGTAGAAAATATTTACAATATTTTGTTAAAGAGGGACTGATTGGAATGTGACACACTAGGGCACAGTATATTCTGTCAACGGTAGAGTCAGTTAAAGTGGAGAACATGGCAGCCATTCTGAACCACATACAGTGGGGTCTCGACTTACGAACGGCTCGACATACGAACGGCTCGACTTACGAACTGCTCTCATAGGAATATATGGACTCGACTTACGAACTTAGATTCGAGTTACGAACTCTTTTTTCCCTTTTTTTTAAAGCTAAGTCATCTTAGGTTAAAAGGAAAAAAGAAAAAAATCCCCCTCTAGTGGCAGAAGGCGGAATAGCAGCTTCCCATTAGTTTCTATGGACGAAAAGAGCAGATACGGATTAAATGGTTTTCAATGCATTCCTATGGGAAATGCAGATTCGACTTAAGAACTTTTCGACCTGAGAACTGCCTTCCAATACGGATTAAGTTCGTAAGTCGAGACCCCACTGTAATGAGGAGCCACAGACTGAGACATAACGAATTTATAGATGCAGTTAATTAATATTTTGTTTATCTTTTATATGCAATGTTCGTTTATGCCAACGAAAGCTCTGACTGACTAACTATAAGGTGGTGTGTGAATAATTGCTGCTAGTCTATGTCCCTTCAAATGTGCCAGGGGCACCCATGGGGCCATATGCCCCCCCTCTCCATGAGAACAGCTGTTTTTGGATAAGGGTTCAATGAAAACAGGAGGTCCAAAAAACTGTTAAAAGACAGCCTGAGAATGTTTAACTGTAGCAGCAAAGAAAACGGCAATCTGTCCAAAACAAGAACAAGATATTCCAGTGCTGGAACATTTTTTCCCAGCTAGCTGAACCACAGTTTTCTTTTTCAGCTTTGAGTCAGTTCTAAAGACCAAGTGAACGCAGCTGCACAGCCAAACTGGAAAAATTATAATACAAATATGAAAACTGGCACAGGTCCCAAAAACTAGTCCAATAACTGTTCAGCAAAAACAAAAATATTTACAATTTCACTAACTGCCAGATTTCACTTTGCGGTTTTTCAAAAATATGTTAACATGGTAACATGACAGCAGCAGTTTAAATGTTTCAAGCTCAAGCACGAGCTGGAATTCATGTTTCACATTTGGTGCGGCACAGTTCCCTTGGTATAACATGACTTTGGGAGGTGACAGAAGAAAAAGCCACGGAAAACGAGAGTTGGTCTTAATGGGATAAAGTTGGATCCTGCAAAAAACAAAGATGCCAAATATTCGCTGTGACAATTAGGTGGCAAAGTCACCTTGTGAAGGAAGCAGACATGTTTTCCGTATGTATGTGTGTGTGTGTGTGTGTTTTAAATTCAATAATGTGCAACTTGGGGCTGAGTCTGCAAGACCAGAGAATATGCCTGGTTTGTTTTCAAATGAAGTTCCACAACTGAGCCAAAGGATAACTGATTAAGGCTGGGATACATCAGATGTTGAGTTTGAAAATCCAATTTTCCAGTGAGAAAGGAGAGGGTGGCAGAATCAATGGAATTTTGTCAAACTCAATAGGAGGAGCAGATTTGCAGGGAAAACACTGGACTTAACCACAGGAAAACTGGTATTCAAAGCCAGTTCAAACTTTACAGAAGGAGTGGGGCCAATTGTGGTACTTCCCGAGATAACCTACCTACATTTTAATATTTATCTCTAAATAGAATACGGACGTGGTGGTGCTGTGGGTTAAACCGCAGAAGCCTCTGTGCTGCAGGGTCAGAAGACCAGCAGTCATACGAGCAAATCCATGCAACGAAGTGAGCTCCCGTCGGTTTGTCCTAGCTCCTGCCAACCTAGCAGGTCGAAAGCATGTAAAAATGTGAGTAGATAAATAGGTACCATTTCGGTGGGAAGGTAAACAGCGTTCCGGGTCTAAGTCACGCTGGCCACATGACCACGGAAACTGTCTTTGGACAAACGCTGGCTCTATAGCTTGGAAATGGGGATGAGCACCGCACCCTAGAGTTGGACACAACTGGACTAAATATCGAGGGGAACCTTTACCTTATAATACACGGTATTTTTCTGTGTATAAGACGATACTTTTGTCTAAAATCTTTAAACTAAAAATTGATGGTCGTCTTATACATGGAAGTAAGCTGAGGATAGAACCATGTGATTGCAAAACTGCCCATACCTTTCCTCTGTAAACAGGCTTCCTTCGGTCAGGCTTAGCTTCCTACAGTAAGGAGACTGAGCTTCCTCCAATCACGAGCCTTATGTAACTTATGTCAGCTGATACTGAACAAACCAACTGGAACACACCTTGTTGGAGGTGGAGCCTGTAGGCAGTGCTCAAATGCAACAGGGACTGGTAATGTCAATGTGTTCTGAACCCATAGGATGAATAAAGTGATACACTCAATGCCAAGTTTGATGCTTAGTATGACAGTACTGGTATGTAAATGTTACCTAATTACTAAATAAAAATGTCTTGTTTTATGTTTAAAATATTGATTTCTTAATTTGAGGTTAGAAACAGGGGGGCATCTTATACATGGGGTGTCCTATACACGGAAAAATACGGTAATAGAATAAAATAGAACAGGATATGATAAAATAGAATATTAGAACTGCAGAGCTGGAAGGGACTCTGGAGAATGGAATCCCAACGTCTGGCTCCACAGCAAGATACCTAAACCATTGATCTTTCCAGCAATTTTTATTTATTTTATTATTTATTTATTTATTTAATTTATATGTTGCCCACACTACCCAAAGGTCTCTGGGCGGCTTACAACAATTAAAATACAATTAAAATATATATAAACATTGCCATCGGACCCACAGCTAATATTATTTCAATTAAAAGCCTTCTGGAACAGGAAGCTTTTGACCTGGCGCCGAAATGTCATCAGCGTCGGCGCCAGACGAATCTCAGTCGGGAGGGCATTCCATAGTCTCGGGGCAGCTGCCGAAAAGGCCCTTTGTCTACAAGCCGTAGACTATCAACAAAGGTACATTGGATATAGACCACTACAGCATAGCTTTCATCCGGTCATATGTTCTTTTACATGTAAGATTATATAAAGCCAGAAAAATTAGTTTCTCTGGCCTCCAGTTCCCAGAATCTTGAGCTATCCTGCAAAAGGCAGGGAGTTACAGTCTGGATAAGATGCTTTTTCAAGTTCTGCATGAAGCTGCTATCCAATCCATTCTAGTCCAGGCCAAACATTACCCCTGTGTTCTGCTGATTGAGTAAAGCTGTCCCTAAGAATTCCTCGTAAGCGACAAACAAGAAATGACCATTTTTGTGTGGGCTGCAAATACAAATATGCTGACAGCAAGCTATGATTTCTTGGATCTCATCAATCACTACAGGCTCAGCAAGGAATCACACTTGTTCACAGAAGCACCTGTTTGGACTCCAAACAGCGAAAAACAGGTGCAAGCATTTTAAAGGCCCCATGCACTTCCTTTTCATCGGGAGAATAAGGAACCTTGTGCAGTCCTCATGTTGCAAAGCAAATGCTTATATTTCGTCATGATACATTTAAAAATTTCATCTTACCCACTGTGGTCTCCACTCAGAAATCCTGCAATGGCACCAGGAAGTTCAGATTTAATAATGAAAAGGTAAGATGACATAGCTGCAAATACAAACATTAAGTGAGTGAGACTCATGGCATAACAAGGCAACTGCAGGCAATCCTAATTCAAAGTAGCCAGAAAGGAAAGAACTCTGTTCCAGATTAAAGTGTATAGGGCAGCATACAGAACTCCTATTAGTCCTCTTCATACAATTTAGAGGAAAATGAGTACATCCAAATGTGCATGTGTCTATAGCACAAATATATTTTACAGTTTATACAGCGTCAGCAATCACTTGAAAGACACGAAACAAAGAAAACATATAGAACAGTTTGATCAGGAAAAAAAACTCAATTGAGAAGCAGTCAAGGCTCAAAAACTTGCAAAGTGGTGTTATAATTTTAAACCTCATATTGATTATCTATTTCCAATGTTGTGCCCAGAAGCAGGATATACAGTTCCACTCTGCTGCTCTCTCTTTTATTTGGACTTCCGTGTTCAAGTTAAATCAGTTATTGCTGCAAGTGATAAAGCAGAATTAACTGGAATACAGAGATTCCCAAGAATAAGAATCAGATCAAGAGGAATTAATGAATGACCTTCACACACTTAAGGCAGAGGTGGTTCATAGTCCAAGAGGTGTGGTGGGTACAATCCATAATTTTGGAATGAGATTGTCCCTATTTCAATCCTAAGCCATCAACAGCTTAAGTTCTATTTTCCATTTACCTTTACTTCAAAAGAGAACTCCACCTGTTGAAACATAGGTGAGTAGGAACAATGCAAAAAAGGGAAAGTGTGCAACTTACATACCAGCCCATAGTGTTTAAAGCACTCTTTGGGCAGCTCACAATTAATTATGAAAGCTACATACTGCCTGTCCCATCGGCTGGATATTCAATTTACCAACCTCAGAAGGATGGAAGGCTCAGTGAACCGGGCCAGCTACCTGAGATTGAATCAATGATCAATGAAGTACTGAAATAAATGGATTAAAGACCAAGGAATCATAAATCTTCCAAAAAGAAGAAAGTCAGAATACTTTAGACATGTAACTATAAACAAAAACTGTATAAATTACCTTGAGATGTGGTGAGCGCTCCAACATTGGAGGCATTCAAGAGAAATTTAGGCAACCACTTGTCCAATCTGCTTTGATTTGTATCCCTGTATTGAGCAGGGGGGTTGGACTCAATGACCTTACAGGCCCCTTCCAACTTCATTATTCTATGATATTGCTACAATTTATTATTCAAGGTTTAGAAAATGGGAAAAGTTATTGAGAAAGGAAAGAAACTTCTATGCTGAAAAAAAATCTTAAGAGACTGATTTGGATGCAATGCAACAGAACTGATTACATCATCCTAAATGACGGTGTCTAATTTCTAGAAAGGGAAGAATCAAAATATGTCAACATCATGGGATGGAATGAAGGAACTGGTTCACAAGAGGGTCTATTAGTGTATTATTCATAATGATAGGCATTTACTCGTGTGTGAATAACTGATTACACAGGTCAAAACAGTGAGCTTAGTTGTGTTACATTCTCCCTCGTTTATTAAAGAATTCTGTCTTGCAGTTTACTCTAAAAACAACTTTCTTTTCCGGAAAATTAGAAAAGAGATTTCTGGGATACTATCCACTCCTTCGCTGAAGTCCATTTTATAAGCAACAAAATCAAAACCCATGAACTTTTGTCACTCTGCTATTAAAATCACTGAGAATAAAAAGCATATGAGGTAGTTACAAAATGTTGTAGCCCTGAAAGAGTTAAAGATTACAGATTTTTGAAGTGAAGGAATGTGGCTTCTATAAAGAAAAAGTGAATTGCATTAATCCAGAGTGGCATGTACCTACAGCAAGGTTAAATTAAAAACAGTTGTGAGGTCACTAAATAAGGAAACATTCACTTCTTTGTATAGAGACTCTCATCTGGGGTTGGCTTTCCCAGCTGACGAAGGCTTGGGGAGACATTTTATTTAGTGTCTCTATTTTTATTTCTTTTTTAAAAAGGAAATTTGATGGAGTGTTAGAAGGGCAAGTAATTTGAATACCACCAGTGGGGCTGCAGGACAGCCACTAAGACACTACACTTTCTAAGGGTGACCTGTAGATGCCAGTGGATAATAAAACAATGTTTTTTAAAAAAATACCAAAGAAATTGAATCTTCTTCTGCATCTTAAGTTAATTTTCCCCTCCCTGTCTATTAAGTAGTAACATTTTATACAAGCGGAACTGAGAGCTCAGACATCTCTATCCACTTCACTAATTTTTTTTAAGAAGTCACATCAGTTTAAAAAGAAAAACCTTCAAAAACCTTCAACTAATTTGCAGATCAGATTTCCTGCTAATATACAATCTGTCACTCTTTCCCGGGCATTTATTTCTGCCTCTGGCTAATCATTTGATCATTTCTTTGCCCTTTGTTGTGTGATTGACTCTTTTGTTTCCTAAATCTGCAGAGCCACTCCTTTGAAAATCACCCTCCAGGGGGAAGAAGAAGAAGAAAAAAAGAGAGAGCCAATCTTCTCTGTTATATTCCTTTGCTTTGATACAGCCTAAAAAGAAATGAACTCCCTCGTGTATGCTACTCTTTCTCTTTCTCTAGGTAATAAAGAAAATGGATGCCAAGTTCAATGAATATATTCATACCCCTGAGGCTTCCACATGATAAGGATCTCTCCTTTGGCAGCTCATGGGAAAGCAGGAGGACTGGATGAGTGTGCTTTATCCACAGTTTAAAAGGTTAAGTTATGGGCCTGGAGACCCCCTATATACACACTCTGTTCTGCACTGGAGAGTTCACATAAAAATCACTAGCAAATAATAGGAATATACACCAGGAGACAAAAGAAGAGACAAGGCAACGCAGGGCTGCTTGAAACAAGTTAAGGAAAGGGGGGGAGGACGTACAATAAAGTACAATGGCTGCATATTCATCAGGATTTGCCGGCAGTACGGTAATTTCAATGCAAGGACTATTGCTTAGTCCTGTATTGCTGGATGCCAGCTAAACTGTGGTCTGCCTAGGCTTAAATAGCAGCTCTGTCCACATTTCCACCGGTAAGTAACTCAATTTTGAATGGCGGAATACAGTCCAAATTACATCCTGCTTAGAGATGCTTAAACTGATTTACATCCATCACCTTGCATCGCCTGCTTCACACACATTTTACAGGACAGAGGGCAGGATTTTACTGTTTATGCTAGCAAAGGAAAACTAGACAAGTATGTACTTGGTCTGAGCCATATTTGTCCTCTAAGCTTAACCAATAGTTTATCTCTCTGACTCTTGCTTGTATTTGAAAACATGAGGGATGAATAATACCGCTTTACTACAAGCCAAGAGTGGCAGACATCCCCCTAGCAGATTTTATCATCCTAGGGCTGTGTCGGCTGGTCTTCGTCACTTAGAGCAGTGATGGCTAACCTTTTTGATTTTTGGGCCCAAATGCCCAAACTGGAAAAGAAACACAAAAAACCAGGCGGCGGAAGCAGAAGTGGCGGCAGAAGGGTGGGATCCCAGACATGGAGGTGCCGCCGGACCCCACTCCAGATCATGACCAACTCCTGCAAGTGCCAGCTGCTCCGGATCCTGGCCCACCACCTGTCAGGGCGCCAGCACTGCGGCTACAGCCTCTTCCTCAGGTTTGGCTGATCTGGCAACTTATTGCTCTCATGCCCGCAGAGAGGGCTCTGCGTGCCAGCTGTGACACGTATGCCACAGGTTCGCCATCGCTGACTTAGAGGAAAGGTCTTCTGCACATCCCCAGAGACACATGCATCAGCACTTTCCAGAAAGCAAAACTGTTACTGAAACCACATTTGTGCTTAAATCCTCGGAATAAGAGCTTGAAAAAGGTGTGAAAGCTTAAAATAATTCCTTAAAAGAAGGACTCAGAAAATGGCATTTTTCACAAGCAGTCTGCATAAATCTGAATGATCCTAGGGAAGGCGGAGATTCTATGGAGATGTGGAACCCAAACCCTTCTTCTTTATTACCAAAATTTGCAGCTAGGACACTGAAATTCTAGGCCTGCTTCTTTTCAGTACTAGCAATTTTAAATAAATCCATCTTTTCTTAAGAGATAATGAGCCAACCAACTGCTATGTCCAATGTGGTATTAAATAGATTTGTCCATCTTTTGCTTTTATAATGAGGCTGGAAGTCAGAATGTCTGACTTCCCACTTGCTGTTTAAAACACTAACATTGTTGGTATAGATGTACTCCCATTAAGCAGCCCAAATCTGGAAAGTCTAAAGCAATGCACATCACATAAGTATCTCAGTAGAGATTTAGCCAGTTGTCCAGCTACCTGCTCACCTGGTGGCAAGCTTTAGGCAAACTATTATTCCAGTAATAGAATCAAGGGAACTGAATGGTGTGCTTTATGAACCAAAACAACTACTAAAACATATGTTTTTTAAATCCACACCAATCCACAAGAATAATTTTCATGTATAGATGTATCAAAAGATGTTACAATTGGGGAAAAAATATTTACAGCAAGATAGTATTTTTTTTAAATAGAAAGAAACAGCTTGATTTTTTTTGGCAGCTAGTGGGCATGTTGAATCTGGCCACACTAGATGGCCACTGCCAGACTGGAGGTAAATCTGGCCTTCTCCACAGTGGAACCAAGGCTCTGAAATCAGCTCCTAGTCAAGTTCTATCTGACCCCCTTCCTCCCTCGTTTAAGTGCTTCCTGAAGACACTGATCTTCCAAGAAGACTTTGAGACCAACCTCATCTGAATTTTTAGCCTCGGTGCCCTACTGTTCATATGGAAATGCTGTGCCACTGTGATTTAACTTATTTAATTCTGTTTGTTAATTTTATGACTTTATAACTGCATTATTTCATTTTGTTCTTGTTGTTTTTTGGATGTCATCACTATGTTCATTGCCCAGAAGAGTCTTGTGTACTAATGGGGCAATATAGAAATGAAATAAAATGAATTAATGAATGAATAAGTGATGCCCTACATCTGCACAAAACCAAGTTGTAATTAATTAAAAAAATGCAACTTCAACAAAAAAAAATTCATCTCTGTGTTT